TCGCTTGAACCGTATAATTGTACGCTTTCTCCGGAACTAGGCGAGAAGAAAAAGAAGAAAGTGAAGGCGACAAACAAAGGACAAAAGGAGAAGTGAGAGACACACTCTCTTTTTTTCCACTTGATATTTCATAATCTATAATTTCTTAAATTTTTAAAACCTCTAGAAAATTTTTTTTTTAAATTAGGAATTATTTGTTTCCGAATTTACAACCTAAATTGGAAGTGAAAAACGAAATCAGTACATCAGTGAAGTCATCACCAAGATGCACTTGTATGATTTTTGCAGGAAGCTCCCAAAGAAAAAGGTTTCGGGGCGCACCGATTCACATCATGCGATGCGCACAAAAGATTGGCTGGATACCGAAGAAGCGAAAGAAGCCGCAGCAAAAGCTTTAAAAAAAACACACAAAAGTCCTGCGAAGGTTTGCCGTGACTTTACCTCTTTGACTCTTACTTGGGAATCTAGCAGTTTTGTAATAAACTGAATTTATGATGAAATTTGTGGTTGAGGATGCTTTGATGCGTCTTTCTCATTCCTTCTTTTAGTCATCACGGACCGCATGCAGCTTTTTTTGGCCACTTCAGCCCTTTCCAAAAGCACTAGCAAGGGAAATTTTCATCCGATTACTTTCGTAAGACATGCACTACCTTGATCAGCCACTGTTTCATTCTTCCGTTTAGTTTCTCCTAGGAAAAATGCTTTTTATGCGTTTTTGCTGTGCAGCGCTAGAGCGCTGTAACAAAAACTGCATATTGCGACGACCCTGTTTATGTATGTGTGTGTATATGTTTTTTTGTGTATGTGTATGTGTGGGAAAATTGCTGGTTCGGGAGCGAAAAAAAACAAATTTTTGAGGAAATACCCCCTACTCATGTGCGACTAGAAGATTTCAAATTCAGCCCTTCTCATAGGATCTTTTCCGCAACTTCCCGATGTTGGGTAGCTGAAGCCGACATCTACAACTGACGCACCACACAGCTGCACAGTTAACTTCCTGAACTTCAAGGACCAACGTGTCACAAATTCTAGCTACTGGGACTTTTTTTCGATCTTAATACCGCACGAAATAGAGCAAAAACGCATGTTCGCATGGGATACCAATTGCATGCTCAGGGGAAATATGTATTTTCCATTTAGCCTATTTCATTCGATTAATGCATTGAGTAAAAAAAAATCGATTTTTAGAGAAGTGATGTGGAATCTCGTGAATCACGAAAAAGAGGGAAGGTTAAGATGGTTGATGAACCGATTGATAAAGATGTGTATGAAGTAAGCTGCTGCTTTTAGTAAATTTATAATTTATATTTTTAAAAATTTGCTTTTTTCCCTTGCTTTGGTTAAAAATGCCTGAGTCTGATTTTTCAGGCAGCCCCAGGTATTTGCACGCCAAGCAATCCCAACTTGCATTTTGGATCGGGCTCATCGAATGGAGCTCTCACGCCACAGGATACTGCGCAACATAAAACGAAGATGCATGAGCGAACATCGAAGCTGAAATTGAGCTCTTATAAGATACTTGGCGAAACAGAGGACTTGAAATTGGTGAGATATTTTGCTGTGTCTTGCTGAACTGAGAGTGCTCCTCCTGAAACTCGGAAGTTAC